TGAATTATCTGAAAAACAACTGTGAACGATTATCATCTCAATCGTTTAAATTTATTATTGAAACGAATCATGAATATATTTTGAAATGGCCAGAAATAAAGGGCATATTTTTATGATAAAAATATGAAAAAAATAAAAATGAAAAGTTTAATGAAAAAATACAAGTACATTTTTTTTTAAACGAGATAATAAATATAATCGAATCTTTATTTTTTCTAAGGTTAAAAATATTTATTTCATACTTTTTCTTTTCATAAGAATCTCATATTTTGAATGTACAATAGATATTTCCAAAGTAATAAGATATGATTCATATGTAATTGTTGATACTTAAACATAATTAATTATAAAATTTATTTCGTTTATTAAAATTTGTTATACCCAAAACGATTATTCAATACAACGTTTTAATACTTTTTTTAAGATTCGAATTATAGAAATTCGATTGTTTCATTGAATTTTAAGTATCTTTTATGAGCTATCAAGTTTTTTTTTAAACTATATATATATAACATATTTTAATAACAGATTTCAATATTTTTAAGTCTACTAAGTATCATTAATTGTTTATACCATTTTTTTTCAAACTCATTTTATTTCAAAAACAAAAATGTAATCATGAGACGTTTCAAACCAATTAATTTGATGATTTTAGAATAACATTTCAAATGACGAGCTAATTTTTCGATTAACAAGTTAATCATAAATGAATGTTTTTTTTTTTCTTTAAAGGAACAAAATCGCAATCTATTAATTAATATCTCTTTAATTTATTAAAAAGTTGTTTTTAACAAAACAAATACAATTGTAATATCGATACGACTAGGTATCGTGAACCATTTTTCAACGAGTACGAGAATTCGGTGGGAAATATAATATAAATATAAATATTAAGTTTATTATTGGAATCGTGAAACTATTACAATGTCTATGTTTGTATATTATTTCATTCGTATAAATTATTACAATATAAAATAATAATAAATATTTAAAGCAACAATAATAATTACATATGTCTTCTCAATAAAGTTTTTCTCTTTTTGAAAATTTATATATTATTTAATTCGTACATGTGAAACATTTGAGTTTTGTCATATGTTTTTTAATAATTTTTTAAAAATTCTATAAACGAAATGTTAGAAAAGATAAATAAAATTATGTGAAATAAACTTACAGGATGTTCAAAGACATATTTTAATGGTTTCACATATTACGATCTAATAATAAAATACTTGATGAAATATAATTTAAAGTCTAACAAATGTCTGACTAGTAGATGTAAAAGAATAATTTAAGCCAATAAATAAATAATGACATTTAGCAGATCTTACAAAATTAATAAACAAAATCGATAATTTCATTGAATAAATGTTAGATATTAACATATTGTAAAAAATAGAAAAACATTCTATTTTTTTATGAAAACTGAGTACCATCAAGAAATAATTTTACACATAACCATAATAAATAATTTTAAATAATTTTAAACATAAACAATTTCATTTTCAATAATCTTTTTCATTCACAAAAAGAATATTTAAAAGTATCGCAGTTTAGTTTCCATATCATAATCAATTTCTTTAAAAAAGAAATCCGTAAAATCGATTAAACATGTAATACTATACTCTAAAAAAAAAAAAAAAAAAATAATAGCCAATTAAGCTTTCACAATATCGTGACTAGAATAATAATTTAGCTTTAACAAATCCTCTTCAAAGTTGTATTTGATTTTATTGAACAATATCAAAGGCAAAAATAAAAAAATCTTAAAAAAAAAAAAGAAAAATAAATGAAACAAAACAAAATAAAAGCCAATTTTTGCTTCCAATTAAACATTTGTTACGTAGATACGTTAAAAAAAAAATACATTTCTATGGATCGATACGTTATTGATTTGTAGGAAAGAAAAACTTGAAAGGGTTTAATAAGGGAAGAGAGTGGCCGCAGAAACGAGTCTCGATGAAATCTCCGAGTTTCAATGTTATGGGAGCACTCATGCGACACGCAGACCGCGCATTGTCCACGTCAATTAATCTCCGTGGTAATTACACTGCTATGTCCACGAATGTGAATACTAAATTACAACGCTGATGATTTGATGAAAGGCCAGCTGACCTGTTTTTCTTTCTCTCTATCCTCTACTAGCTAAGCTTTACTTTTTTGTCTCGAAATTCGAATGCAGAGACCATTGAATGAAAATAATGTCATAATAATAATAAAGTGAAATGTATTTTAATTTATTTCTTCCCCCCTCCTCCTTTTTAATATAAAAACTTGTTTTCCTTTAATACAGAATTTTCATTATCCAAAATAATAATAAGAGATAGAAGATCGTTCGGATACGAGAATTTTCTGATAATGGAACACAGACTTTTCTTAGACAAATATATTTCTATATTTTGAGGAAAATAATGTTTATTTACAATAAAATTAAGATAATAGTAAGAAAAAGAAATGTTTTCATTACGAAAATTAGACATTCTATTTTTTTAGCTATCAAATTTTTTAATATTCAAATAATGTACATCTTGTAAATAATATTCAATTTTATTCTTCTTAATGCCAATATGAATTTCCAATATTAAATAAATACTTTTGCCAATTTTATAGCACTCCGTCGTTTTCTTAAATTTTTTAAATATCTTCAATTTCGTTTCAACGATTAATACTGAATAAATGTTTACGTTTCAATGTATTCTAGATATATACTTGCGAATGTGATTTTAAAATTAAATTCTATTTCCATTGCATGATGAGAAAAGGTAAGATAATCTATTTATATTATAACTATAGATACTGCATAGTTTGAATAACAGAATTCGGATTCGATTAATTTTAAACGTTCAAATATTAATATTTGAATAATGGGAGTTTTAAAATTATATATTTCTTTGTACAATTTGAATTCTAATGAAAGTTAAATTAAAAACAATTTAAAAGATATCTTAGAACTTATTCTTTTATAAATCTGACCATAAATATGAAGTTTTTAATTATTTAAATTTTCATTCGATATTCATTTTCTGAGAATTAAAATAAATCGTGTGCTTATAATATTTCAAGTATCAAAGCTTTATAATATTATTTGCATATGTAGAGATGGATATCATCTATTCGAAATGTTTCTCCTTAATTCTAGTTTAAGAGTCGATCTCTATCTTTCTGTTGACATAAACAACAAATATTGAACTTCATTTTTTTTTTTTTTTTTTTTGCTGAAGAGAATTTGGTCATAACTTTGTCACGGAAGTGCGTATTATTGAAAGTTAATTTAGACACAAATAATTTAAACACAAATATTCTACAGAAAATAATTTAAAACCTTGCTTTTATAAATTATCCTTTTATATCTGACAAATATTATTCATATCATTTTTAGATACACAATAAAGATTGTTAGAATAAAAAACATGTTTTTTTTATTTATGATAATAATTCAGGAATCCAATGAAAAAAATTATAATACAAGAGTAATATTTTCCAATCAGACATTTAAATTAAATTAAATAAAGAAATTAAAGAAATGTATTATGTTCATATTTTCCATTACACTATTTCCAAATTGTTACAGAAATAATATCAAAAAATAATTGTGTAATAACAAAATAGTTAATTAAATAAGATATATAAATATACTCGTTATAATAATATATATAATAATTTCGTATATAAGAATAAATCGCACATAATATAAGAATAGCAAAATATTCGTATGAGCGATAAATGAAAAATTACACAAATTATGTAACCAAATGTAATTGCCAAAAAAATAGCAAGTTTTAATAAGATTGTTTTACGATTGTGATTGATGAAAAAAATTACTGATTGAATTATGCATTTCTCTCCAATCAATACACATAAGAAATAATAAAGCACAGCTATTAAAGAATATTACTTGTATTATTTCTTGCAGCTTTTAACAAAGTTATAAGACCAAGTTTTCTCATTATTGAAAAATCTAACGTTCTATCGAAGATTCATGTTGAGTCATCGAATTAATGATGTTGGCAACTATTTGTCATGTGCAAGATATGTCACAAGGCTTATCGCATGATGGAAACACGCATAAATTACACATATCACCTATATGTGAGATGTAACCAAATTCCAGATTTCGTCTCTTGTACCAGTGAGATACTATACGGTTTCTATCGAATTCAATTTATAATAGCAAGTGTTCTTGAAAATTAGATATCGCCATTTATCTATATTTATAGTATCTATATCTATATTTTTACAGTATTCTTTCTGAATATTTTTTTTTTGTTTTTAATAATGATTTTTATATTGGAAAATTAAATCGTAAACCTAAGCTAATTATTTAATCTTTTGAAGGATAAATACTAATCATACTAATCATATATTTTAATCCTAAAATTAAAAATTTTTCGAACAATACGTTAATCATTTTAGTTTCTCTATAATCCAATTGAGGAAAATTTTTATTAAATTGATGTTTAATTTTCAACTATGGAAAGGATTTGTTAAAGAATTCTAAAATCGTATATTTATCTCGAATGTTAATTTGAAATTTGGCTTAATTAATACCAATTATTTGCGTCACGACATATGTTATATATTATATATATGTATCTATTTCTATCTACGTGTATATAAAACTATCTGCAAAATGTATCTGACAAATTAATGAACATCGATCACTAAAAATTATTCCAATTCCATATGGAAACTTACTGGCAAGCAAAAATGCTATTTCGTTAAAATAATAAATAGAGAATCATTTAAAAAATAAAATATATCAAATATTCTCATTATACATTAACTACTAATAATTTTCGTGACAAATTGATTTAAAATCCAATTCAAATGAGCAACGAGATTTCATTGCAATTTCACAGTGATGTGCAATTCAGCACATTTTATATTTTCCAATTATATATAATTTCCAATACATTACATACGATTATCATTCCATTATTAAAAATATTAGATCAGTGTAAAAATGGCAATGATATCATTAATTTAAATTGGATCAAAAACGAAATAATAATTAATAATGAGAAATTATGGTACATACGCTATCGTGAACGATGTTTCTTAAACCGTGTATAATCACATTTATAATTTAAAATCACATTTTAAACAATTTATGTAGAAAAGGAACAAAATTTTCTTTTAATTTTAATTTTTCATCAACACGTCACACGTGTAATCGCGCGACAATGAAAATAATTTTTCTCGAATTCCATGTGTTTGCCATGTAGAACGTTCCAAGTCGAATTAGAGACTCCACGTGCACGAAAATCAGACTTCTTCGGCAGCTAACATCGATTCATTTTGTCTTTTTTTTTTTTTTNCCATGCGCATCTTCAATTTCGCTTTTCGCTTTGTCCAGATTATTAAACTCGCTATTCCTTCATCATTGATGAAAAAAATTTCGAGAAGCGATCAATTTTCTTGCTTCTTTTCTGTCTAAATTGTTTGAATAATTTGAACGATTTCGTACAATCCCATCGATCTTTCATTCAAATTTTTTTTCTTTTTATATATAATAATATGCAAAAACTAAGTTTTCAAACAAGTTAGGTGTTAATCCCCGAAATTGAAATTTCGAGGAATGGAAGACACACTATTCGAAACTAAGTTAGAGAACTTCTCCGAGAAACGTGTTCTCCGTGTTTTACGATGGCTCGTATTATTTTCGCGCGAGAATCATTTAAAAACAGAACGAACGTTCCTTTAATGTGAAAAGACAATGTTACACAATTGTTCGATACACCTGCGCTTCCACAACTTCCATTTCTCATCGAGGCAATATAATATCGCTTCAACGAAATCGATCCTATAACTTATTGCTTCTCCATTTCTCTCCTATCTCCTATTCCATTCTTCTATTTTCCCGTCTAAAATATGGCAATGTAACAGAATGCTTTTAAAGCAACTGACCAACAATTCTACTATGAAGTGGAAGATGTTCTAGAGTTTCTTTTCTCTCTTTCTTCTTCTTTCGTTTCTTCTTCTTCTTTCACTTCTTCTTCTTTTTTATTCAACTCATCTCTCTTGTTGGTTACATAAGCAAACTTGGTAAGGAGTAACAACAATTCATTTTGAGATATTTGTATGTTATTTCGTTTTTTGATGTTACTTGTTTATTTTAAAATTCGTACGTTTTTTTTTTATTTTAACAATGTGAACGATGATATATTTGTTTGGATGATGTATAATTTTGTTAAAGTCAATAATTCAGTGCAAATTTGATAAACTATGTCTGAGAATTAATTGTGGTTACTGATATTGTTTTTTTATTTCTTTAAATATTGTCTCACTATATACTTTTTTTATTTAAATGTTCATTTTTAAATACTTATAGTATATATATGTATATATTGTTCTTTATATTTTTCTGTATGAATTAACATTTATAAACTGTCGAAGCTTTCAGAAAGCTTTTAGAAACTTTTAAAGCTGTATCTATAATATTGTTTTTAATAAATTCTTTAACGATTTTTATAAAACACCTTTTTTATTTATTTGCAATACTATTATTTCAATATTTTTAGATAGAAATTAGTCATCATAGTATTAATTTAAAAACAATATTTTTCTTTCACTTTCAATAATCACAAAATTAGTGCATAAAAGAACTCATATTATATATTTTTTTGAAATTTATCGACATTTATCGATTTCTTTGATGAAATATTTGCATTATAAATTATAACAGATTAAGAAACAAGATTAAGGATTTTTTTTTATAAACTTATACTTCAAAAAATACTTTAGATAGTTATTTCCTAGGCTTTCAAAAGGCCGTCGAGATATCTCTACCATTGTCTGATGGAACTTGTGCCGAGCCACTAAACTGGAACTAATTCTTTTTCAACAGAAGAATCGACCTCTTGAAGATTCACGCCACCACTCTTCCCTCTGTTTACAGGCGATAGCCGAAACACGGAAAGAATAGCGTCCTCTTCCATCCTATTGAAAAGGCGTCATCCCCTCTTTCTTCTTTTTCTCTTCCAGTTCACCTCCGAGCCACGATATACTCTACAATCGGGTGCACAGGTAATGACTATGATTTTACGCAACACCTCTTTCTCGATATTTTCTAAGCCAATGATAAAATCAAGTGTTGGAGACAACTCTTCAACGATAGAGTTATCTTAATATCGGTCGAAATTTCCATTGATATTCTTCTTGTGATTCAGTGGTAATCTCGAAAGAAGTCTTTATGAATCATTATAAGATTTTCACAGAGAAGAATCAATATCTCTAAAGATATTGTAATCTAATAAAATTATCTGAAAGTATTCAACAGAAAGATAGTAACAGCACAATTGCTGATATTTCTGCGGCATAGAAATTTCTTAAGAAGAACAGCATATCTCGATGGAATATCTTCATAGAAATAGTTCCGTACGCGATTGCAGACTATCATCAGTAGCTTGTCACTTTCCGCCTCTCGATTATGCGGTGTATCGATTGCATAAGCAATCGCGTATCTAGAGTATGTTCCGCATCTGAAGCAGTATAATTTTATTGGCGTTTCTTCGAGGTCGATGAAAAATATCGACGAAACGGTTCTTCGTTGATCGAGCCTTCGTTGATCAATGTTCGATCATTCAAAGCCGTTTCTAACTAGTAGAAATCGCGTTTCGAGACCAGAACAAATTCTCTTCGCGTTTTCACCGGCTTACAATTTGTTCCCTCTTCCAGGAAAATCTTTCACCAAGCCCTTGCCATTTCTATATCTTCCCAAAGATTCTTCTTCTTCTTCTTCTTCTTCTTCTTCTTTCTTCTCCAACGATTAATTCACCTTCTTTCTTGAACATTTGCACAGCACTGTACACGAGATGCTCGTTCCAATAAAGCTTCTCTCTTCTAACGAGACAAAATGAAGTACTCGTTCTATAACGAAATGCCAGGGCTTCGTTTGTCGATTTTCTTTGATATCCCAGTATCTCACGATTTATTTCGAGTACGTCGTTTCGTTCCATTGTCGGTGATTTCCTTAAACGAGAATACTGTGTGTTGTATCATTATCCGCGACTAAAGTATCGCGCAGTTCGTAATCTTTAGAATATACGAATCGATTCGATTCTTTTCAAGTCTACTCTTCTGTATGATTGTTGATTTTATTGCGAACATTTAGTAGACTAGTAGTAGACATTTAGTAGTTTAGTAAAAAAGTTTGATCGAGTCTTCTTGTTTATTAATAATAGTCATTTAAGTATATATAGGTGGAAGCACGATTTTCCGTTTCATTGTTTCGATGTTCATTTTCAAAGATCAGATCTTTGAAACACAGAAAATCGAAATTAGAGAAATAATTCGAATAAATTTTCGAATTATCGTGTGATGTGCGATTTCTTTTTGATTCCCCACAGCTTCGTCGCTATTTCGTGCTAATTGGGTTCCTTGACGTGTCCGATCCTCAGAAACACCTAATATTAGTTAGAAAAATTGTGTGTTATCTCCACAATATCCCAACAGCTCGTTTCATCGTATTTGCTTTGAAAACAGAAATGGCAACTAGTCGACTAGTCGAGGATACACTTTTTGTCGATAAATTCGCATTTCTTTCTCCTTTGTATTTCTTCATTTCCTTTTTCTGGTGGATTATTATCGAAAGAAAAGAATTTAATCTTTAACTTTGAGGTTAAACCCGTTTCAAGAAAGCAAAACACTTTTTCGTGCTATTGACAATTGAACACTTGGCGACACTTTAAAAAATTCCATTTTTACGTTCCATCACGATTTATATTTTTTGTTTCCTTCCTAGTGCCACTATTGTTCCGATAACGAAATTCAAAATAGAATTCAACATTCTCGAATTCGTTCATTCGACGCTTCCCTCTGATAAAAATGTATCCACGCTTTCTTCTCTCTCTCTCTCTCTCTTTCTCTCTCATACACACACTCATTCTCCCTCTCTTTCTCTCCCTGTCACACGAGACACATTTTTTCCAAGCTGAATTTTTTTTTTTAATTTTTCTTTTTTTTCTCCTTTCTTGCTACGGATGACGAATACTCAAATAAAGCAACTATTCGATAAATAAAAGCTAACGTAACCAAGGTACGGCACGACTAGATCCAGCCGGTTGACTTTTTCCTCCCCTTCCAACTCGGCCATTGATCCAACTTGTGTGGTTCCATCGATTTTCAAGCATAGAGAACCCTAGTGGGTAGAAACCAGCGATGAGTATCGAACGAACACGTTCAATTCTAGGCGCACGTGCCTTCTGATTGCTTGATTAAGCTCGTCACTGTGTCCGAAAGCACGTCTTCTCTCTCTCTCTCTCTCTCTCTCTCTCCTCTTTGTTTTCCCCGGGCGTTCTGTGTCAAAGAGAACAGTTGCCGCACGAACGCAACGGGGAAGTTCGCGTGCGGAGAAACGTGGCGAACTTTCCTCTCGCCGTCTCTTTGATCGCGTCCAACCAGTTTATTCGCTTTCCTTAACTTTTTCCACCGGTCTCCTTCGTTTTTCCTTTTCCTCTTCATCTCCCTCTTTCATCTTTTATCCCTCGTTCCCCGCATTCCAGTTATAATACTCTCGACCCACTCAGAGTTCGCATGCACGTGCCTCTTTCCATCCTCTTTCTTTCTTCTCTCCCCCTTCCTTTTCTCTCTCTCTCTCTCTCTCTCTCTCTCTCTCTCTCCTTTTTCTCTTTCCTCTCTCTCTATCTTCTATCTCCTTTCTTTCTCCTTGGTTGCTCGTTGGAAAATAAAAAAATACTCTGGCGAATCTGAAGCGGAGAACGAACGGAGGGCCCCCGGTTTCAGCATCGTGACGCTCGTGATGCACGGAAATCGTCCCCTTTTTCCGGCTACGAGTGCCATTTAATCGCTTACGTGAAGTATGTCGCGAGCACCGCCACCACCACGATCACTATAGCCTGAATCCTGTACACGTTCCCGCTATTTCCGATCGTGCACACCTCGTCGGTATACGGAGCGCAGTGTACCTGCAATCATTTGAAAATTACGTAAAGGTTAATCGATTTCGAGAAGGATCTCTTTTATTCTCGATATTCGTACACAAGAATTCGTGCAGTATCGATAAAAGTTAAATTTTCAATTTTCTCTCGTTGGAAATTCACATTTTTGTTATATTGACATTGTGTATACGTCGATGATTGTACAATATGTTTTCGAAATGTATTGTCATTCCATAGTGTTTCGTATATGCATATCGTATATTTCTCGGTATATTGATAGTATATTTTATTTCTTACAAGGAAAAATCTTGGAAATTAAAAAAATTGTAAAATTTTGAAAATATGTAAGTATATATTACGTAATTTTTTTTTCTGTTCAAAATCGTTTTAAAGAGTGAAATTAATCCTGAAAGATTCGATTATTATTCGATTTTTATAATTTTTTATAATTCGCAAACTATAAGAAATGCAAGAAATTTTTTTGAACAAAAATTGCTTTTTTTTCATAGGAACTATCGTCTGATAAAACATTTATTAATTGTTTATATAATTAAAAAAAAGAAATAAAAAAATGTTTGAAGTTTTTTAATTGTGCGATGATATAAAAAAACAGAATAAATACTTTTTATTTTTAATAAATAAAGCTTTGTTATATTATTTTCGTTGCTAAATTTTCAAAAATTTATATCATATATTTCTGTCTTTTATTAAACATTGGATAATATGGAATAAAAAAAAAGGAATTTATATATATAACTATTTTAAAAGATCTTTTCATTTTTAATATAATAATACATCAAACTTTTTTATATTTTTATACATCAAAGAACAAAAAGCAATAGTATATAGCCGTTATAATTAATATATATAGCCGCTACTAATTATTATACTTATATTTTTAATAATATTGGCTTTCGACAAATTTGTTTCTCCGCTTTTTATTTTAAAAGAATAAAGTGTTAATTTCGATCTATATATAGAACAATCTTTATTTTTATCATGATATGGCCTCCATATCTGAAAAATTAACTGTTTAATAAATAATTAACAAATGTTTATCTAACAAATGCAGGATCTCAGAATATTATATTATTGGATCCTTGGATAGGTATTATATGGTAATACCGTCTAATTATCATGTAGAAATATTTAAAATATCGAAGAAAATCACAAGAATGATGTAATCTTTTGATGTATATGATTTTCACATATAGAAGAAAATTTTCCGATTTTGTTGTATTATATAATTATGACATTAATCTATATGCATAGAATAATATCATTAAATTACAATCTGCCATTCATAATCAACTTTTGTCACCAAAATATTACGACGTATTTGCTTACGCATGATATGAGGATGAATATATTTATGAGAATTAAAAATAATTCTGAAAATAAAATTTGCTTTTTTACAACAAGAACACGGCCATCATGCTATTATACGATGTGCATGTTGCAACAAATTTTTATTACATGTTTACAATATTTTTTTGAAGGATTTTATCATCATAAAGAATAATTTATAATATTATTCACTTACTTGTATGCTTTCATCCACTCTTTATTCAATCCGTTTATTATCTGATATGTAAAGAAATTAAGAAATTTTACGACTACATTAAAAATAAAAAAATCTTATAAAATAATTATATATAAGTTTTTTTTCTTTATTTTCTTTTTTTCTACTCTTGAATATTTAGCAACGAAAATCAGCAACATAATAAAGCTGTATTTATTAATAACAAAAAATATTTATTCTATTTTTTTTATATATTATAATTATTTAGGATGTTGATGAAAAACTTCACGTTGAAAAACAAATTTAAAAAAAGAATTATTAATCTTTTTATTTGTAATTTATTTTTAATTATATATAAATAATTAATAATTTTATCAGGCGATATTCCTTATGAAAAGAAACAACTTTTTCTGTATTTTCTATAGTTTGCGAATTATATATAATTATATATAACGTAAAATCAAAAAATAATCAACTTTCAATTTTGATTTCATCCCCTTAAAGTGATTTTTAGCAACAAAAAAGAAAATTGTATCATATATATTTATATAAGCAAAAAAAAATAAATATCCTCAAAGTTTCATAATTTTTTTAATTTTTAGCTTGGGAAAAAACAGTTAAAGTCTTAAGTAAATAATTTTATTCTATTATATAAGCTATCTTTAGTTTATTCAATATAATGAAAATTTTATATATATAACACACCGTGACCAAAATGTTTTCGTATTTTTCGTACAATATCGACTATACAACTGTTGTCCAATACTAAAAATCTGTCAATCAATACGGAACAATTTTTGTTTTATCTATAAGTTGAATCTTTTGACAATTTTTTCAGTTCATCTAGTTTTTCTTTTGTATTTTTTCGCAGAAAAATGTCTGAAATTTCGAAAAAGAATTGAATACAACAATATCTATAAAGAATTGGGCACATGTCAAATGCATACATCAAAAAAATATTTTATATTATTTAAAAATTATTTCATGATGTTTATAATAATAAATTTTCTATTCTAATAAATATGTTTAAATATAAACATTGTTAATCTTAGTCTTAAAAATTTATTAATTAAATAATTAATCAGTATTAAATCAATGATTTTGCAAATTTTTAGATCATTTTTATTATTAAATTGTTAAATATACAAAATTATTTCCTTTCTTTTAAAGTTCTATTTATAAAGTTCTATTTATATTATAAATATAATCATTCATAAAATTTATCATGTATTACTTTATAACGAAATGCATTTAATCCGATAATTCTGATTTTAATTAAAGTTTGAATACATGTAAAGTACAATGAATTTATATTTTTAAAATTATAATACAGTATGGAATATTTTTGATGGAAAATCTCTTTGAGGCAATGAAATCAATCTCCAAAGTTTCAGCATTTTTTTTTTCGCGTTTCGATATAATTTTGTGTGAGAATTTTTTTTTCAACAAGATGATAGAACACTAAAAATTAAAATATTTTTCAAAAAATTTTGCTCCCTATATCAAAGATGATATATTTAAAAAAAACACATCAAAACTTTGAGCGTTAATTTCATCTCTATAAAGCGATATTTTGTTAAAAAAAATGTTATTCTGTACATATATATATATAAATTATTATGTGCTGAATATTCGTGAAAAAATTTTTCTGTTAACCTCTTCTTTTTTTTGCAAATATTTCGAAAGTTAAAAACGGATGGCAATTCGTATGTATAAAAAAAAATCTTATTTAAAATTATGTCCTCTACGATATATCTAAAAATTATTAAAATCAATTAGATATCATATTTTTTTTTATTATTTCTAAACTATACTTTAATCGATATTTTTGTATATTAACTTTTGTATTTGTTTTGATTTTTAGAATTGACTTTACAAAGATATCAAATTTTTTATTTTTTAACGAAGAATAATAATCATGTGAATTTCTGCTGTTTTTAAAAAAATTTAAAAGTGCAAAAGTTGCTGACATTCAAAAATAAAGAAAACTTATTACATTAATATCTTACCGCAAAAGATATCTTTAATTTGATTGCACAAATATGAATTTGAAAAAACATTTATTTTATACGTAATAAACATGCAAGAACATAAAAAAAAAAGAACAGGCAATTCCAAGCATAAAAAAAAAGAATAGGAAATTCGAAGCATAAAAAAAAAAAAATTAAAAAACTTGCAGTTTTTATCAATTTTATTTTTATAAAGAAATGGAGGAACATTTTCTTCCAACGGTATGCAGTATGTCCGTGTATTACTCACTGATTTAAATCGATAAATATATATTTTAAGCAATTTCGACATAGCTGAAGGACTACACGATGGAACGTACGTATAGCTCGTTACGGTGACAACAGATTCTGCCGAAGCAAAAGTGGTAAATATTTACCCTGAGAAGCGAACTTGACATTCTGTCAAGGAAATCCTTTGCAAATCGAGCTGTGTCATCGCCACATTGTCGGCGGACCGTATGGTGTGAGCATTCCAAAAATTCCTTGAAGCCACTGCAACAGACATATTCAATTCTTAAATTGGTTATTTGTATTACAAACTTCGCATTACAAACTCGATTAACAAAATCTGGATATATATATACTATCATAGAAACCATTTTTCATTGAAAAATCTCTCGAAAGTTTTTTCGATAAGAATGATAATGTATTTTTTTTTTTTTTAATTTTTATTTTTGGCAGATTGTCATCATTATATCATATTTTTATTATTTTTGTTTGCTTATCATCATTAAGATCAATGTACAATAGGATTTTATTTTTATCAAAAACTGATAACCGATAATTGAAAATTAAATCTGATTCTCGTAAAATGATTCGAAAATTTATATAGAGTTTTTAGAGAATTTATAAAGTCACTGAGAATTTTATAATAGGATTTTTTAAAAATAACAGATGTGTCCAAAATATTTACATAATATTTAAATTAAATATAGAAAAATAAATCAATAAGTCTTAAAATCAAAAACCAAAATAGCAAAATTTCTACAGAAAAAGTAATTTGTTGTTGATGTTAGTTTTCATTTAATATTAAAATTTATTATGTTAAAATTTATTATGTAATATTAATATTTATTATGTTAACATTACATGAGAAATATAAGTTTCATGTAATAAAATATTAAAATAGCAAATAACAAAATAAAAACTTTATCATCCAAAAAGTTTATCAAGAAAGAATTAAATCAAAAAAAATTACAATATCGATAAAAGAATTAAATTATAATTTTTCAATGTTTAAAATTAATTCGTAAAAAAATATTAAAGTATTAATACTAATTTGTGATACTTTTAAATTATCTACAAACTACTAAGATATTAATAATTAGAGTAATTTTATGGTGCATGCATTTTCATAAATTATATCTTCATGTCTAAATGATAGATATAATTCAGAGATAAGCATACACGTGAATATTAAAACTCCAAAAGCGAATCGAGAGATCTCTCGTCCTCGGAATTTCTTTGACACTCGTCTCTTTTTTATGAACGAATCTTGTTTTTCTTTCAATTTTCCGGCAGAACGAAATGCAACGCGCGAAATGATATTACGTTCTGCAACGAGTGCATCTCGAGTGAAACGCATCATGGTCGTGATTGTAAAACAAATCGGTAGATGCGTTTAATCTATTTCCATTATTGAATCAATGTTTAATTCATTTTGCATTACTTTTTGAAAGGACATTTTTGAAATTATTGATAAAATTACATTTGGCAAAATTTATAACGTAAACTGGTAAAAAGTAATATATATTTTTTAAATATTAAATTTTCACAAAATTAAAATATTAAATTTACATACATTTAGATTATAATATAATAAAATTATATCGATTATTTAAAATTTTTATTCAAATAATCTGAACACAGAACATTTAGTATTTAAACTATTTAATAGATCTTAATTTTGGAACATGTACTTATCTTGAAATAATATTTAAAAACAATTAATTTATTTTCTATAAATTTGAATTTTTCTTATTAAATATTTCTGTAATAAATATTTTAAAATTATTTAATTTTTAATTATTTTATAATGTATTGATAAATCTATGTATTTTATATTTACATCATTAGATCTCAAAAATTTCAAAAATTATAGAATTAAAAAATTTAAAATATTGTTGTCGAAAATATTTAATCGAAAACGAAACAATTTGTATTCATTTAATTTTTAATATAGTTAAATATATTATTATTAAATTATTAGTTAAATATATTATTAAAAATATTAATAAATATTAAGCGATAAAATAATTTATTTTGTTAGTTTTAATTTATAATAAGCTAAACCATGCATTCATTTAATTTTGGACTAATATAATTAAAACAAACATAATTTTTTTCAAAGATCTATATGATATTCATATGTATATTAACTAACAAAATGTGATTTATTTCATTAGATATATCTTTAAAATTTTTGATCAATTATTAAACTTATTGTATTTTTTTAATATAAAATTAATATTTATTAATGTTGAATTAATTAATTTTTTTCAATATTGAATATGAACGAATCAATGGAATTCACAATAAAACTGATGACTGATGTAATTATTTATACCAGATCAATTAAATGAATAATTATTGAGATTTAAAATAATTCTAAAAAACATTATATGAAAAATAAAAAGAAATACAAGAGTTTCTTTTTATTTTAAATGGAATATAAAATCAATTGTATATTATTAGTTAATTATTCTTTAAAACTGAGAATTTTTTTTATTTGATATAAAACAAGGATATTTTGCATGATTTTCTTATTATAACAACATAATGATAAATAAAATTCTCTCATAAAACATAATAACTAATAATTTTAAAATAATAAATAAAAAAAATATAAAAGAAATAAATAATATAATATAATATAGAATTATTTTGTCATAAATATATTATGTATATTTTTATAAATACATGTATTTTAAATTAAGAGCATTTATTACGATATTACAAATCCATCGTATCCGCCATATAACATATAACATTTTTGCAATTTTCGCCTGCAAAAAGAAAGAAACATTTTCGCGTAAAATGTGGTGAAAAGTATCTCATGCGAAAATAACATCAACAGAAAAATTGCACGGAAGCGTATTTCAATTTTAATTAAATGTATTTATACGATTTTAACTGAAAAGTCGTTAAATCTTTTATCACTTTGCCACGAATTTTCAAATTTTATTCCCTTTCTCGAAGAAAATCGATCAATACGTAAAATCCTGCATTTTCCCAACAAAATATTAATTATAAAAATAATACATATAATATATGTGTTTAATTATTTATAAAAAAAAATATTCCTTATCGATTTCAACGATAACGAAATATATTACCAAAGACATGATTTTTCCCTATACATGTTAATCCGCTGTTCGATTTTAGTTTCCAAGTTATGATACATTTATATAAAATTAAAATTAAGTTAAATTTATATAATTATATTAATAATGTTAAATTTATAATACTAAATCTAATACAGATTATTATATTGTATATGAAATTTTCATTCGAGGGATTTACATCGATTCTCATTTTATAAACAAAAAATAAAGTTAGATTAGTTTATTATATCCGACTAATATACAAGGCATACGTTGTTATAATTATAAAAATTATAAAATATATATTATAAAATTATAAAATTATATATAATTATAATAATTATAAAAATTATAAATTATATTATTATTATAGTTTTTTGTAAAATATTTCGCAAGCATCGATAATATAGAGAATGTGATTCAAAATGTTAAGCTTGATAATATATTTCAAAATCATTAAAATCAGTATCCTTTCGTAAATAATTATCGAAAAAATTCACTGGTGATTGTTTGTATTATAATTTCAAGATTTAACATTTTATTTAAAAAATTCAAAACTCAAAGGAAAAAATTTGAATGACAAGGAATACACTGATTTGAAAACGGACTTACGCAAGGTTAGTACAATACATCAGGTGACTGCAGTGCTATAAATCGACGTCAAAATGAGACATGGGTAATTCTTTTGGTATAAAACTTCCTATCAGAATTCCAGAATACTAGACGGTTATCATTTATCAAAACGTAACAGATTGAACGTTAAATTCCATTGCTTAAAAGTATTATTGATATATAAATAAAATTTTTTATATAAATAATTCTTAAAATTATATACTTAGAAATAATTTTTAAGATTTTAATTTTGTAATAATTTTTATAAAATAATAAATATTTCTATTTATGATTATAAATATACATTATATCATGTTATTTTAATTATTATATATTTTAATTATTATTCATTATTCATTATTCTTTTAATGTTATTTATATCAACATACAATTTCTTTTAAGTTCAATTTCATATCTTATATTCGAAAACAAATTTTTTTCATAATTTAAATAAAAATAATAACAATTTAATCGAAATAATTTTCATTTTCAAATTATTTTTATTGAAATATCTATATTAATCTCTTCATTAATTTTCTATAAAAAAATATTTAAACTTATTCAAATTATAATAAGTCGTGACAAACCTTATATTATTCATTCAAAAAAAATATTCATTCGAAAAAAAAAAAAATTAAAGAAAGAAAAAAAAAGAGACTTGCGCATCTGTACATTTCCAGATCGACGAGATTAAAGTTTCAACTGAATGAAGCTCGTTTACGAATCCAGCAAAAATGCAAAATATTAAAAATCCCATCTCTTTTTATTCCGCTTTAATAACGAAAATTTAAAAATCTTCTAGTCCAACATTGCAGATGGAATTTTATTATTCAACTTAACTTCGTTCAACTTAATAACAATGAAAAAAATATAACGAATAAAAAAGTAACAAAAATAAATAAAACGAAGAATTTTAGCGATTTATAGATTGGATAGAGATTAAAATAATTCTTCGTTTGATATCCTTGATGAAGAATATTGGAATTCGGAAAGAGAGAGGGAGAAGAAGCGAATGAAACGCAATGTTCGATACGTTCGTTCACATCGTAGCCGTTTCGCGTTCCCTTTTTTTTTTTTTTTTGTTCTTTTATTTCTTTTTTCGAAGCCATGTAAACACGAGAGAGGAAGCTTTTCACGCTGATGCCTGTACATAGAATGTAATGTCATTAGCTTATCTCCGTCACGGTCTGTTGCAGCTTTTGAAATTGTGCATCACCCACTGGAAGAAGTCGAAAGAGGAGGGGGCTGACAAAAAGACAAACGGACAAGGGGGTTAAGGACAAGCGAAGAAAAGGAGGGAGAAAAGGGAAAGAGAGGAAACAAAAGATGGATAAGGAAGAGAAGAGAAATGAAATGGAAAATGAGATGATCAAAGTTGTAAGCAAATTAATTTACAACTTTAAACTGCGTGATAAGGAATGATAAATTAATATCGTAACAAAGCATAAGAATTGTAAGTGGAAACAAAAAAATAATAGGATGAGAATGATATCATTTAATAATGAGATATAGAGAATAAAATAGAAGAAAGGATATTATACGAGAAGATGAAAAATTAAGGAACTTTTTAAAATAGAACTATAAAATTTATAACTATTATTTAAAATGTAAAAGTGAAATATTGATTGACTTGATTCGCTTATTGTTTCTTTTTTTCAAAAAATTTCATAATTACAAATAATATAAAATAATAATCATAAAAGCATAACAAAATTTTGAAATAAAAATATAAGGGAAAAGATATTAGGAAAAAATAAAATATAAAAATAAAAAAAAATTTGAAAAGAAAAATTTGTCAAATAGATATAAGCAATATATACTTATAAGAATATATTAACTGTTAAAGGTTGAATAAAGTAAAAAAAAAACGTATAGAAAAGAAATCATTCGTTTTTTGGAAAATTAATCCATTGAATGATTTAAATTTAGCTTTAACTTAATTCTCATATATTTCTCTTTATAGATAAAAATTTCAAACAAAAAAGAAAATATTTAAGAAACTTTATCTTAATTATTTGAAAAAGTATATTTTTTCATTCAAAAATTTTTATGCAAATAATAAAAAATCTTGATTTTCTTAAACAGAAATTTTTATTAATATGAATATACTGATTATAATATTTAATAAATATTATTTTTTTATTTTTAATATATATTTATATTTATCTTATTATGTATAAATTAACTATATATAAACTATATATAAAAATTATAAATAATCATTTTTACTCATAGTATATAAAATGATATATTTAAATAGATCTAAAAAAATAAAAAAAATTTATTTCAATTAATATGAACTAGAAATTGGATTTCCTTCCAGTCTAACATATAATATTATTATTTTATATTAACAATAATAAATTATTTTTTTCCTATTCACAAATAAGCGAAATATTTCATAAAACACTTAATTATAACAAGTAAATATATTATCAAACTATTTTAAAAATAATCGTCTATAATTAAAGAAATAAAAAAAAATAGGATATATAAAGAATTAAAAAAATAACTGATTTCGTGAAAATAATCAAAAATTTTAATCAAAAATCAAAAATTGTTATTTATATTAAGATTGAATATATATGGAACTTGTACTTTATCTTTAAGCTCATTTTTATTTTTCTACTTCAAATATATTCTATTGTAAAATCACTCTTATATCAATTTTTTTAAAAAGTTCCAATTTACCAGTAGAGTAAATATTCCAATCTTTTCTAATCTTATAGAAAAATTTAAGTAAATTTAAGTAAAAAAAAAAGAGAAGAAAACAACGAAAAATTCAAAAAAAGGAAATAGAAGAATATAAAATAGTGAATTAGAAAAAGTTAGATAAAAAAAGAACGATATATGCGAAAAGAGGGAAACCAACCACAGGAAAAGTAAAATACGGAAATTGAATGTAAAAGATGAAAAAAAAAGAGAAGTGGGGACGAAGTGAAACAGAGAAGAAAAGATGAAATAGATAAAACAGGAGAGACGAACAAAAATAGAAGGAAAAGAAACAAATGCGAAAAATAGTCAGCGTAAAGAGTAAGAGAATGATGGAGGGGATAAAAAGCGGGTAGAGCGAGAATGTTAAGGACTGAGCGGACAAGAGGAAAAAAGGATTTGAAACACATCCCGTATGAACACGGCGTTCTCTTAACACTCTTATCGCGTAAATTGAATTGCACCCTCCAACGTGCATGCTCTTTTTACATTAAATCTTTTTATGCACGTCCTATTGCGTTTAATGTGCTTAATGTTATAACTCGTTCAAAGGGAATGCTTTCAACCCATCTCTGTCCTATGTCTTCTATGCTTAATTCATAATTTGTTCAAAAGCAACGAAGTCGTTGAAACTGTGTCAGAGGAAAATATCTATAAACAACAAATTTTATAAAAATTTTTCAAAACATTCTTTGTAACATTTTCTAATTTTTTTCTTTTCTTAAATGAAATCTTTAAAAATTCTTACATAATTATTTCTAAAATTTCTTCTATTAAATATTTTTTAATTCTTACAAAATGTTTCCAAAGAATAATTAATCAAATACTTTACGATAACGTGAAAAATGGGCGCCAAAGTGAACGAGAGGGGGAGGGGGGGCAGAGAGAGAGAGAGAGAGAGAGAAAATTTAATTAAATTTTTTATATAGAAAAATATTCACGTAACTATCATATCATACACTATATGTATAATAATAACTAAGATATATTCAATCAATTCGTTATTTAAAAAAAGATAATATAAAATATAAATTGAAAAAACAATCTATTCTCTGAATAATAAAATCACAAAAATATATAGACAAGGATATTGTGTTTTTTTCTGAATAATTCTTATATCAATGAAACTTTTAATCAGATTTGACAAATTATCGATGTTATCAAACATGAAAATTACATTAATATTTTGAATATATTAAAATTCGTAATAGTTTTAATAATAACGTAATATAAAGAATTTGGCATTTCATTGAATGATAGATTATATAGTTGTTTTGAAATCTAATGAATTAATTAAAAATATAATGAATTTTTAATTGTTTATGAAAATTATATATTATGTTTAAATTGAAAATTGAAAATTGACAAATTATGAAGGAAAAATTAATTAATTAATTTTAAACTTTTAATGTATTTTTAAATTGTTTTTTGTTTTCATTTTTTTCTTTTTTTCTATTTAAAATTAATTAAAAGTTTTTAAAAATAATATGACAAAAATAATACAGTTTTGATCTTTACAACAATGACCTATTTATTTACCTATTTATTGATCTAGTTATTTATATTGGATTTCATATGAAAATACACCGGATATCATCGAGACATTAACAAAATCCAGAGTTAACTTGCAAAATTATTTTATTATATATTTAACGATATTCATGCGACTCGAATGTACATTCATATATTATAATATAAAAATACATATTAAAAGTTCATTCAAACAATTTTAATAATACAAAATATATTTCAAAGTTTATTTATTAATTTTTATTTCAGTTTTCAGATTTAGGTTTTTAAAAATACAATAAAAATTATTATCTTAAAATCTTTATATTTAATTGTGTGTATCGTTTCGCGTTTTTTATATTAAAACATTATTAATGAAAAATAATATAAAATTGTTTTAATAAAGAAAATAATAAACGAATAAAAAATATTGCTGAATTAAAATTTCAAAAAAAAAAAAAAATATTGTCAGTCATATCAGTGGTAAAAAGCGAAAAAAATTTATAAGTTCGATTTTCTTGGTTGGATGCATATGATAATGTATACAATAAAAATGGAGAAATAAAAATGTGTGAATTTTATGCGTCACAGAAATTCCAGTGGAAAAGCGAATAGTGCGCACAATTTATTATTCAAAACTCGTTCTTTCAACTTCAAAAAAAATATGAGAAAAGTAACAAGTGTTATGGAAAAAAATTTCAACAATTTAAACTTTCCAATTCTCTATTCAACTACTATCTATCTATCTTCAATCTTTAGATAAATTTTTTTTTAGAAAAAGAAAATATAAAAAAATTTTATCCATTATTATTTAAAATAATTTTTCATTACGAAAATGCATATATATATATATATATATATATACACATGTTTAATAATAATGATAGAATAAATATGAAATAATAATGGTATAAAAAAAATAAATGAATGAATGTCTTTGATATATTAGATTCTCTCAAATATTATTTGCACGCATATTGTACGGTTATAACTTGAAAAATATATAATCTAATTTATTTTTTAATGATATTGTTCATTAATTATCAAAAATCTTAAAATCTTTTTCAAAATAAATCAATTAATAATATTAGAAAATTAATATAAATTATATATTGATTAAATTATTCTTTTATAATTACATATCAAATAGAACAATTAAATCATCAAATGATTCTTTATTATTATATTAAGCATTATTATAATATTATAATATCTTTAATATTTTATTTAAATCAAAATCAAAATCATTTCTGTAAGAATAATAAATATTCCAAAGAAATAAACACATTATATATAAAGTAAATTTATATAAGTATATAAAGTAAAATAATATAAAATATATAAAATTTTATAAATAATAAAATATTATTAATATGTAACTCACTACTATTTTAAGAAAATGAAATAAATGTTTTCGAAAATAGATTCGTATAAAAAAAATGAAATAAATATTTTCGAAAATAGATCTGTATAAAAAAAATGAAAAGAAATTTTGCGATAATCTAATATCGTTATAAAAAAAAGAAACATTTTATAAATCAGTATTTTGCATATGGCTTTCATATTCACGTCGCGATGCTCCGAATCAAAAAGAGAACAAAAGAACAATTATTGCTACAACAACAATTCATGAACCGATTTACATTGCCAGATATTATTGCAATATTAATTAAATTTTTAACAATTATTAATATTTTGAAAATTATGTAAAAATAATTTACATTTACATAATTTACATATTCTGAAAAAATATGCTTTGTTATATTGTGTTATTAATGTATCCTTACAAGGAAATGTGATCGGCTTATGAATTAATAAAGATTATCTATAATATTTACTTACCAGCACAGAGATTTGAGAGATCCATTCGTGTGATTTCTCCTTTCGATTTCCTGAGTGGTTTTCTGGTATTTCTTGTAGCAGAGCTCGTATTCAGGTTGCACTTTTTGCATGCATGGCGCATGTTGAAGAAATTCTGTAAACAGAAAAGAAAAACTAAATGAATGAAATTATCGTTATTGAATTTTTGCATAAATATAAAAAATTATCACAAAATTTTTGTCAAAAAATATTACTCAATTTTTGATTTTGATATTTAATATCTTTATTTTAATTTCTTTATGAAATTGTAATCTTGGAATTTAAACCAATATTAGATATAAGATTAAATAAAGATGACCCAGTTGAATTTGAAAATATTTTGATGGAAAAATAATAAATTTGAAATTCAAACTTGAATAAAAGAATATCTATTTAGATATCTATTTAGGTAAGGATTAAGAATATTTCAATTTATTGAAATACGAATATGATCATGAGAATCGAAGCAACGAATTTCAATCATTATCAGTGATAATCAACATTATTATAAATTTCAATAAAATCGATATTAAATACCAAAATAATAGTTAAATGCATAATATCAAGTTTTCAATACTGTTTTGACAAACAACTATATTAATGGATGTTAATTTTAAAATGATAGCACATATTTTCGTTCTTTTCCCGTGGCACATCGAACAAAAACTTGAATAAATATTAATAACAGAACTGCATGCAACTCAGCAGTTGTAAATCGAACAAGCTGTTTCTGTCGATTATCAATATTTACTTATAGACGAATAGGAAAAATTACATGCATACGTTTTTCTCGTATAGTTGTATCAGTTTTAATCGTTTGACTTGTTATCTTTTTTGAATGTCTGTTTTGAATGTAAAATTAATTTTTCAGATTATTAATAATAATAACCGGAAACATCATATCATTTATTTCATATACGTGTATTCTTAATTAATTTTATAACAATTTTATTTGTTCATATTATATTATAAGTAAATGATTATAATTAAATATGATGATGATGATGATGATAATAATAATAATAATAATAATAATAATAATAATAATAATAATAATAATAAATAAACATACAAAAAATGAAAACATAAACATAAAAGTTCTGTATTATCATTCTTTGTCTTTTATCTGTAAATTAAATTTTTTATAAAAAAAAAAGAAATGATAATAGCTAAATGACAATTATGTATAAATAACAAAAATGATAGAGAATAATGTTGGATAGGATAAAATCGTTTTTGAGAGAAATATCTAGAGATATCTTTGAATTGGATATTTCTTAAAATTTTAGCTTGGCTGAAGAAACGTAATCCTGAGATTTGAGATAATATTCTTCAATCACGCCATTTCAACTGCAATCAACATAATCCTAAACTATAGAAAATTTTAGAAAACTTTATAAAAAATATCCACAGATTGATTTTTTTTTTTTTTTTTAGAACAAGAAACACTTATCTTGCAACTTTTTCTCAAAATAAGGAATTTTTCTTAGATTTGAGACTAAAATTATCAGAATGGAACATTATGTTACCCCTTTATTAAAAGTAATTCAATTCTTCCTCTTACGAATTTCTATACGAATATATGACGTTACATTATCCCCACTACCATTGTTAGATTAGGCATAGCAATGTCACGTGACACGTTTGACTTTGGCAAAAGCCTGATCACGTGATTTACCTTTACCTAGTGCAGTAGCAATGGGAATAATATGACGTCACGTCTCTTGAGAAAATTTACCAGAGGAGAATTGAACTGTTTCTATTCAACAATTCTGTTTGAAACATAATCAAAAGACTGATCCGCAATATTATTAGTTGTTTATGCAATTATATCGAAAATCTATAAAATGGACATGGAGAAGATCTTCAAAAGCATGAGTTTTTTTCGAATCAAGAAAAAGTCAAAATTTTTCAAACTATTACTACTTTTATAACGTACAGAAATGTTAAATTAAAACTATTTTAAACAAAGAATCATTTAAATTTTTCTAATTAATTGAACTATATTGAACTTTAATATTCTTAAATAATCATCATAATATGAATTCAGAATTTTTTGAATTATTTAAACTAAGAATCCATGTAAACTTCATATCAAATTTTATATACATCTGAATTTTATATTTAAATTTTGTACTTATAATATAACAATTTTATTATTAAATATCATTATTAAAAATCACCTCTTCAAATGGACAAGATTATATTTTATTAGTATTTAAAAAATAAAGAATTTTATAAAATATATAATAATTTAAATTCAATAATTAAATTCGATTAACAATTTATTATAATGCTATATTAATAAATATGTTTATCGCTTTTATCTCTTATTTTTCTAGATAACACATTAAAAACTGACAAGGATAAAATCTAGAAATTAATAGCTTAAAAATATTAGGAATTTATAAAACTTCGTAAGTTAATCATAACAAGAAATGATGTTTTCCAAATAAAAATTTTAAAATAACACGAAACGTATCAAAACTATACGTAGGAATTGTAATTGCGTGAAGGCACAAGTTGATCAGACACAACTCGATCGTTCAATATCGATAATCGGGCTCGTTACGAGTCGCGTAGCCGGTATTGCTCTTAACGAGGCGCTAATCGCGTAACCGATTTCGAGATAGCAGTATAGATCGAACAGCGAGCGCAGCTCAATGACCATTCAACTCAATAACATGTTCTCTATGCCCTGGGGACTGGAACAGTGTTTAGCGTGTTTCAATTCGTATATTCGCTAGTGACCGGTGAATCCGTTTCCTTTGCTTTCGGCTCCAGGAATCGAATTGCACGCATATACACTTTCACGAAATCTACGATTATAGGATTAATAGAAGATTCGATGTTTGGATAAGGGTATATCTATTTTGTCCGATTACGCGCATTGTAAATGTCATAGATTTATAACATGGTATCGATAGAAAAAAGTCTTCGATCAAATGTAATAATATAGAAATTCATTAAAAATAATTGTAATTTTTGAAATGTAAAATAATGTGGTATAAATGTCAAACGTGTTGAAAAATCGGTATAATATAAAATAAATATGTACAGAAAAATAACTTAAATTTTTTTTTAGAAGAAAAAAACAATGAGAAAGTAACTTTAAATGGACGTATAATTATAATAATTTTAATACACATGAAAATATTTGAATATGATAAGAAATATTAGAAAGAAAATATATTTTAAATAATAATTTATTTCTCTTCATGAATTCACAATAATCAAAATTTTTTCCAAAATTTTTCCTATTAAATAAAAAAATTACCAATTACCAATTATTAATATTATAATACTATATACTATTTTCATGATTAATTTAAAAAAATCTCACGAGTTTTAATTATTTTGAAATGTTCGTCAACAAAAAAGTTTTGTTTTAAATATATTTTAAAATAATTGTATGTAATCTATTATATATTCAGCTTCTTATATTTAGCTGTACAGTATCTATTATCTAAATACATGTAACGATTATGTATAAAAAAAATCATTTAAAATATTTATTTATATAATATACAAATCATTGAAATCAATAAAGTACTATTCTTTTTATATAATTACCGAAAATTTTATCTAAGCATTTCAATTGTCTATATATTTTGTTTTATATTTTATTTTCGAAAAATTTTCCCAAGTTCTTTAAAGATAAATTTAAGTATAATGATATTAGCTCATTTGTTATACATTTTAAGTGATAGCCGACTAGTTTATCTGTTTATAAACAATTGATAAGTGATAATTATATATTGATGCACATGTATAGATGAAGTTCTATGTATATATAGCAATTTTTTTTTTCTTTTTTTGGAAATATTTAGAAAAAGTTAAGCATGTATGGTACATTATATACATATATGGAACAAAATTATTCAAAATATCGATTTTTACATCTTCAAAAACATATTCAAAAAACCATTGAAATTAATGACATGGCATTCTTTTTATAAAATTAATTCTCAAAAATTAAAAATATTTTTAACGAATTTCATATTATCGTTTGATCGAAACTATTTTATTAGAAATATATAATTATATATTATATAATTTTTAATAATAAATTAAAAAATATCTATTTTCCTTCCTTTTCTTTTCTTTTTTTAATAAACTGATCTTTTATAAATATCAATTTTTAGAATTAATTTTGAGAACATAAATTCTCTCTTTTGAAAGAAGAGAAAAATTACTTTCTAGAAATGTAGTTAAAAACCTAATTAATTTAGTTCTCTAATCCTTTTTGTAATACGTGGACGGAGCATTAAGAACTGGTTTTATGAATTTCATAAATTACGGCAATCTTTTCTTTTTTTCTAATTTCTTGGCTTTTCATTCTGTATTACAGAATGTTCTGTCAATGAAATTTACATAAAATTTTCATAAATTTCATTCGATAAGATAAAATTTTTTATATCAAATTTTTTTATTAAAAAAACTTTAAAAGTTCGTTTTTTGGATTTTATCAAATTTATTTAATAAATTTAGATAAATAAAAAAAATAAAATAAAATTATGCGTACGATATTATAAGATTACACGTGTTACCTGGGAAACAAAAAACATAATATAAAACAAGAAACAGGATACACATATATACATGCAATAAAAAATAAATTTAAATTTAATATTTTTTTAGAATAATATCAAATATCAAACATCGAAATCAAAATAAATATAAAATTTTGAAAATTTTTCAATATAATTCTTCACTACTAAAACTTTACTACGTATTAATCATATATTACAAATTTTACATTAAACATCTTATCACATCAAAGAATTACTTCTGTAAATGAATCTATGCCTTGTTTAATCTACTTTATTTTCAATATAGTGAATTTTATATAGATAGCAGAATAATTTTAGAAATAATAGAACAATTAATAAAATAATTATGTCAAAAGATAAAAATAGTTGAATTAATTCTATTATTTGTGGAATGGAATTCAATAAAATGGAACTTAAAGGTTTATATGAACCTTACACAATTATTCGAATTATATGAAACTTCTGTTATTTGAACTGAGAATCATTCCACTTATGAATATCTTTATATATATTTTTTACAATATAATTAGAAATATACAAAATAAATATAAAATTCATTCATTTAGCAAAAAAAATTATTATGTTTTTAAATTTATAACATTTGATGTGTATTTTAGAGAAAATATTTCGTAAAATCTTTTTATGTAAACGTGAACTTCTATTAATTGGACGAAAAATCATAATTGGTGAACTTTTTTATTATATGAACAACTTGATATTTTTTATTATATGAACATATTTGTTTTCCGACAAGTATAAATGAAATTCTGCTGCATCAGATATTCATTATATTCATTCATTCACAGAATGCCCATTGAAGTTGGAATTTTTTTATAAAAATATTAATGAATAGAAATATTGGTGAAATTTCTTCAAGCTTGCTTATTAAATGCACAAGAAAATGTATTAATAAATAAAATTCAAATAAAAGTCAATTATATGAATTTATATGATTTTTTTTTATATTTTAATTTATTTATTATGAATTTTATTTTCATTCATCGAAGCAATTCCTCCAACGAAATACTTTGTATATCAAGATGATAAAAATATTCAATACTTAAATATTGGAAATACGTATAAAACTTGAAATTTCAATTTAAATTTCATGCATATATTTTCACTAATCTGAATAATCAACATATTAATTATAAATTTCTATTTAGTTATAATTCCAGTTTATTTAAATAAAATCGAACTTGGATAATTTGAATCTCAAGGGAAAAGATAAATTCCTTGAAATATAAAACTTACCAAAGTTTATCAAAGTTTTCAAAGTAAAAAAGAGGTTTCTAAACGAATGAAAATTCAAAATACAAAAAACTTTAAATAAAAATTAAAAAAATTTTCAAATTATAACGATATAAGAAAATAATTGTTATAATAAATAAAAGCTAAAATTTAAAAAAAAAAATAATTTTTGAATATAAATTACTTATTACATAAACATATAAACCTAATCGTATGATTTACTTGAAAAACAATCAACTTTTGTAGATATACACGTGGTTGAAATTAGATATGATTTATATCATCTTATATTTTATAGATGAAAATTCACTTTGATTCGAATCACATTACTTGGTCGAAATAGATTCGTTATAGAGTTAAACAAGATACAATTATTACATTTTTTACTAAAAAAAAAAATTGAAATCTTATAATTTGCAAACATCATATAAAATCACATCCGATTCGCTCTCCAAAATCGTCTAGACACGAAATCATAATTGCATCGGTATGGGATAACGACAAGTATAACGTAGTTATCCAACTTACCGTCTTGATAAGGGCCATCTTGACACAGCTCCATGACTACCTTGTTGGTGCCCACGTATAACGAGTTGAAGTGCTCCCTTTGTTTCTCTTCCATGCAGTCGAACGTATACGTCTGAATGCACTTCATGCCAGCCTCGAAATCTCTGTAACAAACAAAAAAAAAATCTTTGATGTATCAATATAAATAAAATAAAAAATATAATAGATATGTATAGAATAATATAGATATTTTAAAATGAATTTAAAATATATGTGATATCGAAAAAATTTTGCAATAACAAATGTCTAATATATTATCATAAATTATGAATAATCAATAAGAATATTTTAATTTGAATATCACAATTTTCTAGCGAAACAGATCTATAGAAGAAAGAGTGTTTCGTTCATTTTCAAAGTTTCAACGAGGATTGATTATAAATAATTGTTACTACAAGGAATAATCGAGTTTTGAATTAATATTCGATTTAAGGAGATAATTCGAAAAATTTTATGAACTACTTGTGGAGGAATTTATGGATTTATTAGTTGATTTTATAAATTAACAATTTAACAGTAAATGTGATTAATTGTATTGACAATTAGATATATTTAAAAGTATTAAAAATATATTATTTTATATTATTATAAATTATTATTAAACTATTTTATTTTATTTTATTTATTATATAGGAATATTTCATTTTTATTGAAATTCATTCATTTGAATGAATGGTTAAATGATTATATTAAAAAATGATCATTATAATTTTAATTATCTTTACAATAATAGATCTTTTTTTTTCTTAAATTTTCTTAAACTATATAAAGTTTCGGAAAAATTGAATACAATTAAATTAATTATGTTTCAAAGGTCGCTTTTCATAAATTTAAGATGCGGTGCAAAAATAAAACTTATTTAATAAGATGAGGGCGTAAGATTCTAAGAGGATTTTCTTAATACGAAAAGTACTTTTTCTTATTCTTAATTAAAGAAAAATCTTAAAGGAAAAGCAAAAAAAAAAAAGAAAGATTCTTTAATAATGTTATAACGATCAACATTATCGGCTTTACTTCTCATTGAAACAGAATGTTGTACATCAACTTGTTGTAAAGTTTAAATTGCATATTCGTGTCTTTTCATAGAACGGAAATTTCAAACATAGATTAAGATAAACTTAATATCTTGTAACTTATTTAAATAAGAAAACAATTCGAAACAAAATACATTTTAAAAACACAACATTTCAAATACATTTTAAAAATAATATAAGAGATTATTATATTTAAAGTTGATGTTTTTAAACAATTTATTCAAACAATAAAGTATATTTATAAAGTATATTGCAAATAACAATTTACCGAGATAGTAAAAGAATCTAAGATAATGGAAAAGAGCCAGCTAAGTTAAAATAAAAGTAAATTGAAGGAAACTTTATATTCTTCATAAGAAATGGGATACGGAATCATTTTTTTTAAAAAAAAAATAGAAAAAAACGAGATTGATATACATTGTCGTGCATTTATTCTCAAAAAATGAATTGCAATAAATAATAAAATCATTAAATATTTTGTAAACTAATAATTTAATCCTTTTATGTAGTAATATGTATGATTCTATATATATTCATATATATATAATATATTTAAATTAAATGATATAATTATAGAGAATGATGCTATGAAAAAATAAATAAATATAGAATAAAATATTTTTTAATTCAAGACTTCGTTCTCGAGTAAAATTTTCAAGTAGTAAAAACTAATTATCTAAATTACTAATTATTTATTAACTAATTATCTAATTATTAATTAATGATTAACTAATTATCTAATTAAATAAATGCTAAAAAGCTTAAATTTAACTAAAAATTAGAAGTTCAAATTGATTTTCTCGATAGGAATAATTATTCTGAATGTGAAATAATGTGAATAAGCAAAAAATAAAAAATAAATTTCTATTTTATCTTTTTTTATGAGAAAAATGGAAGAAAAATTTTCAATCGAAAAAATTATACAATAGAAGGAAATTAGAAGCATAGACGAATCTTCAAATTTAATCTCCAAAATTAATTTTTAAATAAAACAAAAAAATATAGAATAATCATTTGTTAATAAATCAGTTATATTTAATCAAGAAATAATTTTATATGTATATATAAAATATATATTATAGAATATTGTAAAATTAACAAATGAAATAATGAAAAAATTGAGAAACGAAATTAACACATACGGCATGTATCTACGGCATGATCTATTTTCAAAAGATCAATTTCAATAAATAATATGATGAAATTTTTCAAACATTTCGTGAATTGATAATTATAAAGTATTACGAATAATTACGAGAGATAATTCAAAACGACTTACTTGAAGAAATCACAACGTGACAATTTCATTATTAACGGCACTAGGAACAATGAAGAAAGAGAAAAGAAGAAGAGGAAAAAAAAAAAAAGAAAGAAAGAATTTCAATAAGGGAAATCGGAACGTCTTTACTCCGTCAGCGGAGCAATTATCTTGCTGTTGCTTATTGGAGCGATCCCGACAGTTTCCCTTTTATTTCCTTTAACCTTTCTCGACACTCGTCGAATATCGCCTTCTGGTTTTATTGGGATGGCACATTTAAATTTCAGATTTCAATTTCAATTTCACGGGTCAGGGGAAATTAGAAGAAAACGTAGTCAGGTTACGAGTACACGAGTCGATAGTTGCCGAATTTAAAATTATCGTTCAATAAACTTGGGAAACGGTCGCTAAATTGAGTCCCTATGAGACTGAAATCTAAATCACGTGATGTTCTTTTAACTCAAACAGAATGAGCATTCAAACTTGTATACGTAAAAAATAAAAAAATCGTTAAAATCTTTTTTTCGTATATTAATGATATTAAAATGATATTAATGATATTAATGATATTAATGATATTAATGATATTAAAATGAATAAATTATGAATACGAATGAGCTATGTATATACTTTATTTTCTTCATGAATTTTATATTATTAATTTTAAATCTTTTTTTCAAAGAAATCTTATTCTTATTCAAAAAGTTTTAAAACAAATGAAATATAATTTCTATTTTATCTCCCTTAAATCTAATTTAGTTTAATCTAGTCTCTTCTTATTATTTACAATACTACATTTCTTCGCCAATGTTTGAAAACTTTGAAAACTCAATTTTTGCGATGGCGTTTACAATTCCGTTGGCGAATTTTGTTTTATCATAAATTCAAATCGACGTTCGCAATAATCGAATGAATATTTATGAAATGAGATTTATTGAATTTTCAAACAAAAAGTTGCGAACAAGTATTGAAGTGTAAACTGGAGCATTATCACGATGCAAAATCCAGATGTTATTGAAAACGGCTCACTCGAACCTCGAGTGACAAAAATAATGTTAAAGTATATATAGTATATAAATAAGTAAAATAATAAAATAAAATATAATAAAATAATAAAATAGTATATAGTATATAAAGTATATAAACTATATATACACTATTGCACCTATGGCAATGCATCGTTATTAGAAAACTGAGTACAATGAAAATATCATTTGAATCTTTTTGATATATAAATAAGATTATTCTGAAACTTTTGAAACAAAGTAGTATAACTCAATATATATTAATTGGTATTAATTTAATTCATGAAATTGTTTGATTAGAAGAATTTTAATTTGAATTTCGTAAAAAACTTATTAAATTTATAACAAACGAAGAAAGAATGAACAGCCAAATATTACTTCGCGTTCTTTCCGAATTATTTTCTATTAATTCGACAAATGTACTATAAATTATATTTGTAGAGAATGAGTATGATTTGAAATGTTTATTATGCAAGTTTTGTCTGTTCATATTTTTTGCAATATATTTTATATGTAATATTTTCTATGATTTATTGTGCTCTTATCATAACATTAAATTGAATAAATTAAAAGAAAAAATTATTTTATTCTCTCTTATTAATTTTTCAGTCATTATAAATTACTTCATTCTCGAATATTTTATTCACTTTGAGCGGCATATTTAATGATACTTTACTCAGTAAGTATTCTAAATTGGAATACTTTTCTGGAATACTTTTCAAACGTATGGCATTCTTTGAACCAAAAAGAATTTGAAATCGCTGATGTTGATAAAAAACATTCGAAAACTCTTAAGATCTTTTAAAAAGTACTTTCATATAAAAATTTTCTTTGAAATCGCAATTTCTCAGAAAGTTTATTTATTTTGACTTTTATAGAAACATTTTATTTTTTGTTAAGATTATGAATATTAATATAATGGAATATTTAATTTTAAAATTAAAATTGATAACAAAATTAATAAAATTGATTCAATAATTTAAATCAATAAAAAAAATATGAATATTTTTAAATTAAATTTATATCATATTTATTTTCAAGTTAGCTATTTTCTTTGATTATTAATATTAAATTCATATTTTTTTATATGAGAATCACTTTATTAAGTTGATATTTATTAATAAATATAAAAAATAAGTTGTGTACAGACGTATATATTAATGAAATTCTATGTAACAATAACAATCTTTTTTTGATATAATATCTCGAAAATTAAGACCAAGCAACGCTTGCAGCGAAAGAAATTATTCAAAATATTTCTACATATTTAAAAATTGATTTAAATAATTCCTATATAATAATCATTTTTTTGTTGAAATATTAGAAACAATACCATAAAAATACTATAAATATATAGACCGCTCTGTACATTGACTGTACATTTAACGAGCATTGAAAAAATGATTAACAATGAAATTTGTGTAAAATTGAAAATGCTTTTGCACATACATTTGAATATCCAACAAACATCTATTAGAAATGGATCACATTTAATGGATCCATTAAATAGGATCACATTTTGAAGAGAAAAAAAAAAAAAAAAAAAAGAAAGTTACAAAAATAAAAAAAAAATTAATTAATTGATGGAAAAAACGATAAATTATCTAGCCGCGATGTCTTTCAATTCATTGTTATCGGATCAATTACGATGCATTATTTCGCGTGTTAGATCCACGTAACTAGTTTACGAGCAGCCGGATAACAGGCGGTTCGAACGGTAGTGGCCCGACTTCCGCATTAAAATTTCAAATTTCAATCGCAACTCGAGGTACAGGGAATCGGCTGAA